AATACATTTGCAGTGCCTTTTTGATGCGAGTTTCTAGTGGAACTCTTTCTCCTGCATGTGTTCTGTATATGCATTTCCCCGGTCCGATTGTGTGAAATAGGGCTAAACCCTTTAGCTAGCGGAGGGCACGTCGCTCTTCTCGTCCCGTCGCCCGGGGCCGGGGATGCCCGGCTGCCTGCGGCGCAGGACGAGGCGCAGGCGGCGGGCCGGGGCCGGCGCTCACACACCTCGCCCCTGCCAGCGAGGAGCTGCTTGCCGTTTTCCCCAAGCGAGGATTTATGAAAGTGTTGGCGGCCAGCGCTTCTAACCTCGCCTTTCAAGGATGAGATGGATTTTAAACTGAATAACGAATTGCAGAAAAATTACGACTTTCTCCCGACGCCATTTCCCACCCCCCAAGCTCTCCCCCGAGGGTGTGGGACGGTGGTGGAGCATGGAATGCATCGGTGCGAGCTCATTAGCAAAGCAAAGGTTGCAATTAGTGTCTGCTGCTGTGAAGCGACCTCTCCTCCGCCTGCCTCTCCTAGCCCCCATCACCAAATAATTGTAAAGTATCTGTTGATGTTTTTCTTCCACCCGTCAAAACGTTGGAGCCCTGCCTGCTCCAGGGCTCCGTCCTGGGTTTGTTGTGTCTGGAGACAAATGCTCCGCCAAGCGAACCATCAGAAGTGAAGGGGGGTCACAAAGGTGAGGCAGAGCGCGGCCGCTGCCCACAGGCGGGAGGGGCGGCGACCCCCGGCCGGTGCCCCTCTCCCCGCGCTGTCCCGGGGCAGCCCCGAGCACGCCTTCCCGGCTGGGCGAGTAGCGGGAAGAGGATGTGACCCTCATGTCCGCTCGGGGGGACGCGGCTGCTTTATGTGCAAGGGGCCGGGGGAGGTGGCGGCGGGGACTCTTCCATTCCACCAATTTACACCTAAATTTTATTTTTCTAAATACACTTACAGCAGTCAATGCGTTTCCGAGCGCGACCAGAGCCGGCCGCGGAGCTGCTTTCCCACCACCACCTTACCCCGGCGTCTGCGTACCCGAGGAGCGGGGCTACCCCCCCTTCAGCCCCCGTTTGCTTTTACCCTTCGGGCTGGCGCTCCGAGCGTCGAGGTGTACTTTTAGGTGGCGCTGGCGGTTTTGCTCCGCGACCCGACGAAACCCCGTCGCTTTGTCTCGCCGGCCTTCCGCGACGGGACCGGGGAGCGTCGCCGCTGCGTCGCCGGCGGGCCTGGGGCATGCGCCGACACGGCCCGGCCTGGCGGCCGACTGCTTTGCAGAGGTGGCGAGGGCTGCTGTTCCCGTGGGGCCGACCACCGCGGGCCACCGCCGCGCTCCTTGTGCTACGCGGGGACTGCAGCCACGAGTGTCGGTGCGGAGCGGCCCTGAAAGGCCTCAGAAGAAGGAAACTAAGATGAAATAATTTAAGATAGGGGCGTTTTCGTGCAGTTTTACCTTTAGGAAGCAGGTTCTGGGGAAAGGCAGGGGCTCCCACGGGGAGGTGAGGGGCTGGAGTTATGGTAAGAGACGTGGAGGGCGCGGCGGAGCTGACAGGCGGCGGGCGCGGGGGAGCGAGCCCGGCCGTCGCTGGTCGTAATTCCCGGCGCTGCCGGGCAGGGAGCCGCAGGCAGGGCCGGGCCGGGCCGGCCTTCCCCATCGCGCCCCAGCCCTCTGCAGCCCACTGGGCAGGAGCTGGACCGCTCTCCACTCCCTGCCCATCGAAACCCCCTCTTCCCGACGGGGCGCATGCCCGGGCAGCCTCCACCACCCAGCGCTGGCATTACTATCCCACTTCTCCTCTTAGCAGCGGTGCAGGGGTGAACCTCTCTGCTTCCCACAGCGCAGTGGGGACAGGCTGCCCGGGCGGGGGCTCCTGGAGGGCTCCAGGGCCCGTTTTTCCGGCCTCGGACAGGGCAGAATGTCCATAAGCTGGACACAACCACCAACCAGCCTTTCCCCGCCGGTGCCACGCAGAGGATCCGAGAAAGGATACACCCACCTTGCCTTTTGCTTTGTTCGGTGCTGCTGCTGTGGGTGGTGGGACGCTTGTGAAAGATGTGGGAGATTAAAAGCATGCTCGGTTATTTACTACTGGAGCTGCCCTTTTCCATTAACGAAGGTGCAGTGACTCCGTAAGAGACTTGAGACGGACAGTGGGGGGATGTATCTTCCGAACCTGGACCCACAAAACGCTTGACGTGCACACTAAACTGATGTACAGAACACAAGTCTGTAACTGTGTTACTATTAGCTACATATACAGTATCATTTCCCTAAATCGTAGTGTGCTAGTGTTTTGTTTTAGGTTTTTTGGGGGGGTTTTTTGTTATTACTTATTTCAAGATGTGATCCCATGGTCAATGCAAAGAGTGTTACTTTAGAAGCAATAAGAATTAGGCAAGGAAGGTAGCGTAGAGGGAACTGAAAAGCAATTCAGACCTTTGCCAAATGGTCCAAGGCAGCGGGGCAGTGTGCGTTTTGTCCTATCACAACCAGTGGTGTGGTTTTTTCCTTCTTAAAAAAGCAGCAAAAAGCACAAGGCCACCGCGGAGGGACGGCTTGGTATAGTATCAGTTTTTGCTTTCCCATCCTTTTTCTCTCTCTGTCCCCAATATAGAGAACGAAAACAAATAATGAGAACGCTTCTCTTGAGTGCACTACACTTAAACATACCAAAGAAAAAAAAGCCGGGCAGTCGAAGTTTTCAGATCTCTACAGAGTTGTCTAAACTAATATTCAAATGTACCAGCAAGACTCCCAGTGAATCACTGTAAGCAAAAAAAAAAAAAAAAAGAAAAATAGTTCTCAGCAATACAAAAATGTGTTGTCATAAAAGCACTGTGATACTTTTTAAAATTACTGTTATTCCATGCGCCACCAAAGACCCGCCACCCGCAGCCTCTGACTGCTTGTCCGAGGCGCTGCGAAGGGGGCAGCCCTCGGTGAGGCCGGGCAGGAGGAGCTCGTCCCCTCCCCTTAGCGGCCCCAGGATGGGGAGGCTGGGTCTGGGCACAGGACACCACTTCTCCCGTGGCAGGGTGTGCGGCGGCAGCCCGCAGAGCACAGCCACAGACATGCGGCCACACACGGGTGGGTGCCCACGGCAGAGGGGGCAAGAGCGTACTGCCGGGGCTGTGTAGCACATTCGCTGCGGGAGGGGACATCTAATGTAAGGAAGGGAGTTTATTGCTAGTTTATTCCAGAAAAAAAAGGCACAGCTGCGGAGTCGTACCCGTTCGAGGAAAAAACACCCAAGAAAACTTTATATAAATATACCCACGCGTGAAGGTGTATACGCGCGGGATGAGAGGGAATGTGTGCGTGATGCTGCAGGGCGCTCCAGGCCTTCCCACGGACGGAGCTCTGCGACCAACTCGGCGTTGGTTTATGCTGGGAGAGCCCCGGTGCTCCGCGGAAACTACGCGTGGGGGCTGGAAAGCCTCACATGCGTAGGGCAGCGGTTGGAGCGAGTGCAACGGGGACATCCTTCCCTCTCCTGTTCTCTCTGCCCTGTGAGGGCTCGTACACCGTGCACCTGTAGGAAGGATCCCAAGCAGCGCCTGGGCTTCCACGTTTTCCTTTCCCCCTTGTGCTGGCATGGTCGCACTTTCGAGGGGACAGCCCCAAAGGAAGCGGCTGCTTGGGCTGCCCGGGTGCGCTCCGCTCCGGGCTGCGCGTTTTTCACAGCACCTCCGGGCAAATGCCGCCGTTGGCGACCGCTGCACCGAGCACCCTTTCTCAGGCCGGCTGGCTCCCTCCGGCTGCTCCCGAGCCTTTCCTGTCACCCCACATCACTTCCATCACGCTCCCGCTCCCGCGCCCAGCTAGAGCCACAGCCCCTAGCTCCGTGCTCAGCCACCTCCCTCCACTTTTAACAGCGGTGTCCCCCTGCAGAAAGTAAAAAAGCAAGAGATGAACTTTGAGAAAGTGTATTTCCTGTGTATGTCCCGCTTGTGTTTCTCATTCTTTGCTTACTTCCAGGCAAAAAGCTAAAACGATGGGAGTAATTGATGGGTGGAAGATCCGAAACCAACGGGAAATGTATGGGCTTGACGACCTCTGGATAACCCGGGTACCTTGGCACAAAAAGCAAAAAAATATTTACTCACCTTGAAGTTTCTATTTTTTTAAAACTTTTTTATTTATTTTCTTTTTATTTCTTTAGTCATCTTTTGAGATGGTTCAAGTTCCCGTCTGAGGTTTAATTATAGTAAGCAGGAAAAGGGTGGAATGGGAATGGGTTAATTCTGGGGAGAGGGGGTCAGAAACCAAAACACCCTAAACCCCCCAGATTGAGGTGGTGCGGGAGAAAAAGGCTTTCTGTGACTCATGCACACTCTGAAATGAAGATCTGAAAAACACATTCAAGCCCCGGCTTGACTGGTTTGAAAGCAATTCCAGCAATTAGGAATTAATTCGGCATGGTCAAAAGGCGATTTCACTGCAAGTTATATCAAGTTATCCAAACTTTTGCAGAGTTCAAGTGGTGGAAATGGGCCGCTGGGGTGGAGGTAAGGCTGCAGAAAAGAAAACCAACAATTGTTCAGGAAAGACCAAAGAGGGGAAGCTGTGGAGCAAGGTCTGGAGGGATGGTGAGCCCATGTTAGCGCCAGAGGTTTGCTGATGTTGTTGTTGGAGGAGAGGGAGATTGTGGGGTGGAGGGCAGGGGATGCTTTGTTTCTCAAATGGGAGAAAGTACTTAAAACATGCTAGAGGTCCTAGGTAATAGAAAAATGAGTCTTAATTAAAAAATTAAATCAGTGGGCTTGTTACCTGATCAATATTTCAGGTTCAGTATGACCCTTCTCTAATTAATGGCAGGATACAGAGTTAGTCCAGGCAGGGCTGACCCTGGGATGATCTGTGGAGCAACAGGCACTGGGAGGATGTGGAGGGTGGAGGGAGGTATAAAACCGGGTTTGCACACACAGGCAGGCCAACAATAAAACCGTCACAGGGAGGGGCAGGTACCAACCCCATGGCAGTGCTGGCCATGGGTTGTATCCCTGGCATGTGCTGGCCATGGGTTGTATCCCTGGCATGGCTCCTCTGATGCCTGCCCAGCCCAGCCAGGGATCAGGCATTGGGATTGTTCCTCATGAGCTCCACGTCAGCGTCTACCATCTCCCTGACCAGCTCCTGCAAAGAGGGAGAGAGACAGATCAGGGCCCCAGTGCAGGGGCAAACAGGCAGTACATCAGGAATGCCCCAGAGCATGACAAGCCCCCTGGTCCCCCACAGCAGAACGAGGAGGGGAAGGGGCTTTGCTGGGCTCTTCCCACAGCAGCCCTGGCCCTGTGTGTGTCAGTGCATTGCTTTGCACTGGGGTGCCCATAGTTGCAATAGTGGCTGCTGTTTTCAAAGCAAGAACCCCTGCAGGTTCACCAAAAATGGGGTTTCTCAGTGTGCCCAAGTTGTCCCACACAGAGGTCCCCCACTCCCTTCCCCCTCCCTGTGAATTGCTTTTAGAGGATGTGAACACCCAGCAGGTACAAAGCACTCCAGAAAAGCCACTCACATCAAACGTGACTCTTGGCTTCCAGTTCAGCTTTTGCCTAGCTTTGGTACAGTCCCCTTGCAGAAAATCCTGTGGAAAAGAAGAGAGAGGTGTTGCAAGAACCGTCACCTTCCCCACCTCGATGGCCTCCCCGTTGCTCATACTTCTCTGTGAGCCAAGCATGGCCAGGGCTGGACTCTTCTGAAGACAAAATATTTCTCTTCAAGATGCAATTTTAGTGGAAGCTCATATGCCTATTAATTCACCAGGAGGCAGCATGCTTTCACCAGGTTATTTCAGACTGAAACAGTTACTCTGTTTCTTGTGTGTGCACAGGGCTTGAACTCCAGCCTTATGGCCGTATAATGGTGAACATTTTGTAAGATGATGTTGTACGTCTTAGTCATGCTAGTGAATGAGCTGATTCAAATTCTCTTTTCCCCCATTTGTTTAAATAATGTAAATCACAGAGCAAACATGACAACTAGTCTCTTTCAAATAAAAACATGATCACAGACAGATGATGCTGAAAGACTGTAATGGATATGGGTAACCATATGCAATAGTAGTAAATGTCCAGCTTTTGAATGTCTACTAATTTTCTTCTATAGTATTTTGAGCATCCACATGCAAATAGAAGTCTAAATATCTCATAAATTAAAAGAAATTATCTTGAAAGCATTACAGAAACCAAGACTTTGGTCATGTTCACCTTACTGTTCAAGTATCCTTAAAAGTGCTACCACACCAAAACAATCCCACAACCACTCATCAAAAATAATGTAACAAAATTAAGCAAAGGCAAAAGCTCCTTTGACTGCATTTCTAATTGAATGCAAAACCTGACCTCATCTTTCTTTAAATTTCAAATAATGTGTTTAAACAGTTAGCTTTTTCCAACTGTATGTGTTCATTTAATAAAATATATTCTTTTTCCTCACAAGCTGTGTTTTTCTGTAGCAATAAATACTAAAATCATATCTGTCTAGGTTTAAGGAAAACCAGACAGACCCAGTTTTGTTAGAGAACAACAAGGCTAAGGCTGAATTCTCCTCTTGCATTTGACTTCATGGTGGTAACACAGCAAGCTTTCCAGAAAAATGCATGGTCTGCCTTTCTCCTCCCTTTTCTACCCCCTGACCAGCAGTGGAGCTAAGGAGCATTTTCTGACTAGATTTTTTAACTTGTACTGCTGCACGTTACATTTTTCAGATGCTCTCTTTTGTGCATATGTGGTTCAGGTCATGTTAAGTTCCAAAATCACCTCATCCTGTGCAGTAAAATGTAGGAAATTCTTCTTCATAATTTTGCTCCAAAAAGCTAGACAGCTTGCTTCCAGGAGCAGAGGAAATCCACCAAAGGAAATACTGCACTGAAGAAGGGGATGTGGAACAAACACGTCTGCCCAGACTTATTCCAGGCAGCATTTTTACTAGTTCAGTCTTCAGGCTAAAAAACATTTCAGCTCACCCTTAGAAAAGAGTAAACAGATGGATCAGAACAAAATGATATGAAAATAAAAAATGCCATGATTTCCTTAAATTAGACTAAATGATTTCCTACTGCAGCCCTATAATGGGCTTTTTGAAACTGCACCAGACATTTGAGGCCAAGTCATGCAAAACCGCATCAACTTGAGGGATCCCCTGGAGGGTCGTGTGAATATGGATTACAAAATCTGGTTTGAAATGGGAAAGACGCCTACTAACTTTGATAAAATTTGGATCAGACTCTAATGTGCTCATGGAGGTATGCCTTTTATCTGGAGTTCAGTTTAATTTACATACGTGTGTATATATATATGTGTCTGGAAACAAGGAAATCCTTCTTAAAATACTAATTTCAGTATAAAAACAATTGCTTTTTTATTCTGTCCTAATTCAAGCCATTAGCTAGAAGTGAAGTGTTTTAACACCACCTAGTTTTAAGTCATAAAAGCCATATTGTAAAACTTAGATTTTAATTTTTATGAATGTTATGTAAGTAAAACTTTTACACCCACAATTTTCATATTGAATACATTCTTTGCAATTGAGCCTTATCTAGGATACCGGCTTCCTATTTAAAAAAAAAAATGGACTGTGAAGCATAGAATGAATTGTCATGGCCTGCTATATGTAGCTGCATTCTGCTTTTGAACAGCTTGGGAGCAGTCTTTTAACTTTCTTGGACAAATGCTTTTTGTTAAAACAGTTTATCTAAAAAAATGCTTTACCTAATTCCAGCCCTTCATTCAAAAACATAAACACTTATCTGCTGAATAGGCCAAAATAAGGGTGGGGGGAGGTTGCAAATCTGTAAAAGTTATTTGCAGTGCTGGATTATACACAGAGATCACACAAACAACTAGTGTATTGAATCCATGTAGGTATAAAAAATACATTTTTCCCTTAAACTTTCAGATGCTTTAAAAGTGATGCATTAAGGGCATTAGGGCATAATCTGTGAAAAAAAAATGAGAGAGAGAAAAAGAAAGATTTAATATATATGATAATATGAATTCCCCAGCTGACTTAGGTTAAAAGATTAAAAATGGCTCTCTTGAAGAAGTTTGTGTACTTCTGAGAAATGCTAAACTTTGTTTGTTTACTTGAAAATAGCGTAAAATATCTCCCAGGCACTTTTAAATAGGTTCACTTACAGAAGTTACTAGGTACAGAGATCAAATTAAGCCATACTATTAACACCATATTACACCTAAATTCGAGGTTTGATTGTATTCTTATTAGCCAAAATTTCAACATGGAATGGAAGTGATGACTGGAACAAAGCTATTCCTGATTAAAGGATTGTATTGCAGTCATGTTTCCTGTATTTTTCTACAAGTAGCTCGTAATATGAAAACAATAAGGTAATTACAATAAAATAAGAATATTAAAAAAGCTTCTCTTGGAACAGAATGACTGCTTGTTTATATTATTTAAGTCTTTCACTGAAACCAGAGATGCATCTGTCAGGTTCCCAAAAGGAAAAAATCCACAAAAAAAGACACCGCTCAAAAAAACCTTCAGTATGTTGATCATTAAAGTGTATTGATTTTTCAGTGCCAGGGCATCACTTTCTGGAGGTGCAACCAAATCAGAAAGCAAAGAAAGAAGAGGTGAAGTTCCACAGGGGAAAATCTGGATTTTTGGGGGGAGGAAGGGGCTGATTTGGTGGGAGGGGGGGGGTGGTTCTTGAAAAACAGCTGCTGCTGAATATAAACTACCCCATATCCCTGTTCCTGATGGAAAAGCACCTGATGAAATGACACCACTTCATGTTTTGTATTCCTTGTTCCAAGGATAACTTGTTCTGTGGCATTGTGCTTTACATACTGACAGGAAAACCCAACCCTTTGACTCCATGAAAACTCTGAGGATTTAGATACTGAGCTGAGTCTGCAACCTGAAAACACTGGTTAAGGCTTTCTGTTGTTTTTACAGTACTCAGATCATGAATGTAACATTCTTTGCTTTTAGTTATCCATTTTGTGAGGAACAAGCCCTTATTTTCCATGCAAATAGTTAACATACGTGAATAGTAATGACAAGTTTTACCTGCAAGCTAAGAGTCAGAAACAACATCCACGTAAATATTTAAAGAGAAGGAAGATGGAAGACAGCAGTCAAATTCCCTGTTGCCACCTGAGAGTAAATTCTCCTATGTCTTTCTGTGTAGCTCACTGTCATATGACTGTTTCTCAGTGAACAGAACGAGTTTATACTGTGCAAATTTTTCCATTTTACATTTTCTGTAAGTGAGGCGGTGTAACTATGTAGAAAATACCCCTTTATTACTAAATTTGCTTTTATGATTATTCAATTTTATTGTCCAAATGCACACACAAAAATACATACAGATAAGCAGAGAGAAATTTGTTACACAATGTGGTAAAGCATTTTAAAATCATGAGACAAAAATGTAAAATATTTTAATGTAAATATCACATTTCCCAAGCTCTTGTTCTGAGTGTCATTGCAAGTCCTATTATGTCTCGTGCAGTGATTGATCTGGTTTCACTGTGCAATGTATCACTGTCTCATTCAATTAACTTTGACTGAAAATTTAAAACCTCAAGACAATGTGAGAAAAAGGAAATAGTATGGCCTGAAAGAAGGCCAAGGCATCCTTTATTACTACAGCTCAGCTGATTCTCTCTCGAATGTGCCTTTACTGAAGCCAGCACCCAGTGCCAGCTTTTGCTTTCTCTTACACTAGAATAAAACTGCGATCAAGTCCTCAGTAAAACACCTGCAATGGAACTGTGCCCAGTTCCACTTGCTTTAGCAGAGACAAGGCTTTACCTTTAAAAATAAACAAACTTGATCTAAGCACATAACAGTTTTACTGCATCTGAAAAGCAGCCAGGGTTACGTTTACAATCAACATTACCGCCTGGAAGGTGATTTTTTACATCAGAGCTCCCATAAGCAAAGAACACAGACCCAGCTTGGTGGAGGCTCTAGCTTGCATGTTTAGTCTTGCACTTTTTTGCTCAAGAAGTTTTGTCAGAAAGGATTTTAAGAGTCTAGGGACCATAATTTCCTGTAAGCCCCACTTGTGTTTTAGTTTCTTTATTTCCTTCTTAAAACCGTCACCTTTCACGTTTAACTCATCCCATTAAAAGAAAAAATCAATAAATTAGGCAGTGATAGCTTGCAGTTTTGCATTTTCATCATTATAATTGAATTATAGAATGGTTTGGGTTGGAAGGGACCTTTAAACTTTACGCTCATCTAATGCTCAGTCCAACCCTCTTGCACTGAGCAGGAACATCTTCAACTAGATCAGTTGCTCAGATCCCCATCCAACCTGACCTCAAGTGTTTCCAGGGATGGGGCATCTTCTACCTCTCTTGGCAATCTCTTTCAGGGTTTCACCACTCTCATCATAAAAAGTTTCTTTCTTATATGTTGTCTAAATCTACTTTCTTTTAGTTTAAAACTATTGCCCTATTATCTTGTGTCCTATCACAACAGGCCCTGTTAAAAAGTTTTATCGCGGTTATGTATATATCAAAGTTTGTCTTACGAAACAGTCTCCCCTTTTGTGCCCTTTTTGGAGCATTTTTCATAGTATTTTTTATGAGGGTTCAAGTAGCATATCTC